GTGCTGCAACATATGGATATAAAGTTGGTCTTTGTATGTCTTTACAGACTGGGACATAAAAATCACCTGGGGTAGGTTATTCCACGGTTCCACGAATCGGTTAGAGAAAAAAATGCTCTTTCCTATCCAATCGTCCTTGAAGGGATGTCCTGGAGATAAGTTGAAGTGGCAAGTTTGAAAATGTCGTCACATAGGCGGGCGCAGTCCAGGCCACGCACGATAAGGGAAGTTTGTATCAGATCTCCGTGTGTCTATAAATCAGAGGATAGATGTTAAAATTATTTAGGCGGATCGATTATGAGAGTGCACATTGGTCTCCTTCCAATGTCATGTCCCGCCGATGCACCCTTTCGAGAGGGTTGAAACCCTGTTCCATCTACGGTATCCAGGATATGGCCTTACAAATAGACAAAAGAGTTAAAAAACCAACCTTCATCGACAATTGTAAATGCCCACTTGATGTCGTACATCGTTGAAGTCGCTGCCTTAGAACAGTGTGTAAAAACCTTTAGGATGTCTGTGATTCAACCACTGAGATCTTTCTGTGTTTCTGCTCATCGGAATGTTATTCCGTTTAGATGGTAGGACGGCGTATAGGGGGCGTTAATTCGATTTCCCAGATGCATCACAACACATTTGTTCGGATTGAAGGACGGAAGCCAGCTGCGGAGCACCCACCTAGTCGACGGATATCGTTTTGGAAGTTGCATTCTTCAGCAGCATTATAGATGACGTTCCTGATTTTTATATCATCCACAAACGTGGCACCCTCACAATCGAAATCCTGTACACTGTCACCAATTACCAATTGAAGGAGGATCGGCCCAAGTATTGCACCTTCTGAAATTCCACCCCCAATAAATTCGCGCCTTTACCTTTGTCGTCCTCATAGACAACTTGCGACTGACCAACGTGGAAAGTCTAGATCCACGTAAGCATTTTGAATCCAATGCCCATCACTCTCAACTGGTGCAAGAGAAGTTGGTGTGAAACACTTTCTAAGGCATTCCGAAAATCAATGCAGGCCGCATGCACAGTGTTTTTTGCATAGAATGCTCTTTTTCCAGCTTTGCATCATATGAAGCATGTCCTTTTTACACAGTTTTTCCTACGAAAGCCTATTGTGCATTGCAGGGGAGGTTTTGTGTTTCTTATAACCCTTAAATTCCTTATAAGGGTTAGACAATAGTAAAAAGTTCAGTCTTCGCTTCCGCATTTTAGATGAATTATGGGTCAAAATCAGTGTCAAGAGCACTTTAAATGGTCCGATATATGCCGCCGTGAGCCAGGCGATATGATGTCTGGCAATATGATGTTACCTCTTCAGCAAGCACAGCTGGGTGTGCGCAAGGCTCCCCCGTTGTCAGAATAGTAAAGACAAGGAATGCTCTCCTCACAGCCGTTGTGATGTCGTCGTCACCGGAAAGCTTTAAAAGAAACGTTGACAGATTTGTGTTCGGAGAGTGCCGGAACCATGAGGGGTTCAAATTCACAATAGTAAATTTTGCCCTAATTGTCATCTCTCACGGTTTCCTTTGAGCTTTTGCAAACCATATGGTTCTCCTGGATGTCGCACGCAATTTTACGGTGCAAATAGGTTACTTAAATGCTAATGCCTTTCTCACTCAATAAACTGAACTCAACATAATAATGGCAGCCACGTCAGATTGGTCAGATTGAGTCAAATCAGAATGAATTGAATGGTCAACAAACAAAAGGGAATTGATTAGTAAGGAACCAGACGTATTTTAAATATCGTCGTACTATAATATCGATTACAAATGAATATTGATCACAGGCAAAAATGGGAAGAATGCCAACGGTGAGCCTTGGAACTATAATATTTTTTTTATTATGCAGGATACATAACCGATCGGATCCACTTCTTCACTATAAACTAAGTCGTATACAACAAGCCAGATTAATGGCTAATGGCATGTGATAAGAGCATAGATGTTAAATGCAGTGTATAAGTTCATAAAGCTGGTGAAACAGACAAGTAATTCTGAGAGGGGACGAGAACCTGGAAGAGTTTGCATGCGGTACTACTTACTTTCGTCCAACCATCGTATAGCGAAGGGCAGCACGACACAAAAGATACTAATATTTTGTCTATTGTTTTACCACAAGTTGGTAATCCCCACTACTTCTTAAAGCCATAGTACCACATCGACTCGGACACCTAAGTCGTGGTTTGATTGTGTTGTTACACCAACAGATTTTTTGTTTGAATCGTTGTTTTGGAGTACATATCCGAAAATACTGTAGGAGGTGAGCGTAATCGGCTTTAATTGTGAAAAGTTTTGCAAACTCTATACCGGATAAAGTCTAAAAAGCTTCTGAACTTAAAATACCCACACCTGATGATGTCCAATTATCCAAAGCGCATGGCTAAATCGAACCAACGGTTTGACAAATTATCACCCAACAATAGCTTTTTACAGGACTACAAGGAAGAAGCCGCAATCGGCTATGAACCTTGGCAAGACAAACAACTTACAGGTTAGTTGCTTCAATATTAGCGACTGTACAGTGTCCGCCACAGTGTAGTAATGAGGTCGGTTTGTATGCCAATCAACAGTTAACTTATTATTTGGCACGTTACATGATGGTAAGTCCAATTGTTCTGGCATCCTTATCTGAAGGGAAATGTTGGGGAAATCTACACAAACAATTGCAAGTGCATTGGCGTTATAAAGGCTATTGCTCCAAATGTATGTACTTGTAATTTATTTACTGTTGATATGACAGGGTAATTTTGGCCTGACTTGCGTAAGAACCATTCGGTACGACTCGACCCCTGAGACGTACGAGATCGATGAAGAGAAAATGGTTCCATTATCCGAAATTAAAAAGATAATTCTGCGGAATGTCGATCCAAGTGAATGCCAGAAAGGTGGGCATATTTCGTTTTACTTATCCTTTCAGCCGAGCAAAGAATTCAGGAAAATCCTTCCGCTGATTCGCATTTAACGTCGCCTGATGACCCGGACACGTGTCTAGAACAATATTTCCATTCTGTTGATGAGGCGGAAGCCTGTTCACTTAATTCGGAAGAAAACTTTCCTCCCGAAGACATGTTCGAAATAAATGAAAAGCGGTTTAATGTAACCTCTTCGTATCAGGCGTCACTCGAAGGCTATACGTAAGCTCAACTTATGCACTTTTACTCTTTTCTTAGAATGCCGCTTGATAAAAGTGACCCAGATTTCAAAGCGAAAGAGGAAATGTGCGCTAAAATAGCACAGGAGATCGAGGCAGGTGGTGATGCCAACGCCTGGGATGCAATGATTGATGAAGACGCAGAATGTAATGAGGAACTCCAATTTAGCGCTGTACTAAAAGAGGGTGAACCTGGTCGTGACATAAAGGCTTTCACCCGCGGCGGCCGAAAGTGTCCTCGAGGGGGCCAGCGTCTCCATCTTCAACGAGAATCAGCTGACGTTAGAACTGGCGGTGGTCCAAACCATTCCACAAAGCCTGCGTCCAGTCAGGAACAGTCAAGGTCTGCAGCTTCTGACAATATAAGTAGACAATCCACTTCAACTAATCAAAACACTGAGTCCTCTGCTACGGCCGAGGCCATTGTCGAGGGCGAGTCAACTCAGGGTCGACCAACGGACGCCTCGCCTCCAACCGCAACTGCAGTTACTGACGGGGACGATTCTAAAGAGCCGGCTTCTGCACCGCCGACCAAAAAAGAGGAAAAGAAAAAGTTCACATTGGATCCAAATGCACCCGAATTCAAGCCGTCTGGAATGACTCATCCACCGGTAGAACCTGCTGTTTTACCACAGTTGGCTCCTTCATACTCTTACATAAATTCTGGCTTCTCACAGCCCATACAGTGTGCTCCACTTTCAGTTCCTGCATTCCCAGTCCCTGGTCAACCACATATAATTAACGGAAATCTAAATCCTGCTTCAGTGCCCTTTTGTCTGCCATCGTCAGTATCTTACGTGTTTCAACCAGGGCTTGCATCTCAAATGCCCACTGTAGCCGCTATCCGTCAGCCACAAGGTGCAGTTTTTCCAGCGCAACAACTTGCTGTAATTTCTCAGCCGCCTGTTATGGGTACCCAGCAGACAACAAGTTCGGCATCTACTTCTAAGTCCAACGCTCGATCAAACGTGGCGAATTGCGGTTACACTCGTCAACGATCTATGGAACAACCAGGTCAGTTACCTCAGA